TTTTAAGTCAAAGTGGCAACTCATGAAAGTCGCATTGAAGCGGCAAGCAAGTCGCAATGCACATTCGACTTTGGGGGTCGCAGCAGTGTGCACCGATCCTCAATGGGGTAGATTTACTAAAACTGGTGCACTCAAATCTGGTGCAGCCAATCAGCTTCCACCTTCAGTTTTGGCAATAAAACCTGGAAGCAGATTGGTTTCTATGCAGCGCTGCACCAAATTTTGATTTTGCACCCTCCAGTTTTAGTAAATAATCCCCTATGACTCGGGGGTGTCAAGCTGCCGGTTGAGTCCATGGAAGCCTAGGGTTCCTCCAGAGGTTGCTAGGGGTTCCTTAAGCAATGAGCAAATTCCTTCCTGTATAAATTTCAAGGATAGAATTGTATTTATGGAATCATCTACACCAAGGTTTCTCAACCAGAGTTCCTCCAGATCAGGGGGTGTCAAACTGATGGCCCTCCAGCTGTTGCCAAACTACAAGTCCCATCATGCCTCTGCTTTTTGGGAGTCATGCTTGTAACTGTCAATCTTGCAATGCCTCATGGGACTTGTAGTTTGGCAACAGCTGGAGAGCCGCCAGTTTGACTCCCATGCTATGTGTTTTTAGGGCTTTCATCAAAAGCTACAAAATAAATATACAAATATATATCTATATACTGTACATGTAAATGTATACTGTACATGAACGCAAGATCATTTTTTTTTAAAAATCTATAAAATCACAAAAAAAGGTGATCATAAAAAAAAGGTAGTGAGAAAAGCACAGACTATGTTTAACCAAAATTAATTACCACATAAAATACAGAAACAAACAAAAACAAATAAATAAAACAGCCAACGGTATCCAAATGAGAACTCAGATTACTAGACAAACAATGTAACAATTAGAAAAATGTAATCATTCTGTAACCATTCTTAAGCCAACAGATACATTTGTATCAAATCTATTTAACCATTTCCATACCGGGCACTTTTACCCCCTTCCTGCCCAGGCCAGTTTTTTTCAGGTTTCAGCGCTCTCACACTTTGAACGACAATTGCGCGGTCATACAACATTGTACCCAAACTAAAATTTTATCATTTTCTTCACACAACTAGAGATTTCTTTTGGTGGTATTTAATCACCGCTGGGGTTTTTTATTTTTTGCTAAATTAACAAAACAGACCAAAAATTTAGAAAAAAAAAAAAACACGTTTTTCTTTGTTTCTGTTATAAAAGTTTGCAAATAAATAATTGTTCTTCATAAATTTAGGCCGAGATGTATTCTGCTACATGTCTTTGGTGACAATAACCCAAATTAGGATGTGATATTTAGTCTGTAGGAAAGTTATAGAGTTCACAAACTATGGGATAGATCTGAATAATGATCGATCCTGAAGTACTGACGGCCAATCTAATTTCTTGAGGTCCAAGAATGTCAGAATAGTACAGATATCCCCCAAATGTCAGGATGGTACAGATCCCCCAAATGTCAGGACGGGACAGATATCCCCCAAATGTCAGGACGGTACAGATATCCCCAAATGTCAGGACGGTACAGATATCCACCAAATGTCAGGACGGTACAGATATCCACCAAATGTCAGCACGGTACAGATATCCACCAAATGTCAGCACGGTACAGATATCCCCCAAATGTCAGGACGGTACAGATATCCCCCAAATGTCAGGCGGTACAGATATCCCCCAAATGTCAGGGCGGTACAGATATCCCCCAAATGTCAGGATGGTACAGATATCCCCCAAATGTCAGGACGGTACAGATATCCCCCAAATGTCAGGACGGGACAGATATCCCCCAAATGTCAGGACGGGACAGATATCCCCCAAATGTCAGGACGGGAAAGATATCCCCCAAAAGTCAGGACGGTACAGATATCCCCCCAAATGTCAGGACGGTACAGATATCCCCCAAATGTCAGGACGGTACAGATATCCCCCAAATGTCAGGACGGTACAGATATCCCCCAAATGTCAGGATGGTACAGATATCCCCCAAATATCAGGACAGTACAGATATCCCCCAAATGTCAGGAGAGTACAGATATCCCCCAAATGATCCCTTTTTGCAAAGTAGACAGTCCGACGTACTTCATAAATTGTATTTTTTTTTTTTGTCATAATTTTTCGGAAAATGAAAAAATAAAATTATTTTCACTATTTTTTTTTTTTTACATACTGTCACCAGTGCAGTACAGCGTCATCATATAACTGGCATGGCGGTGATCAGGGACACTGACTGGTGACCGTGTGGAAAAAAAAATAAAAAATGTATATATATATATATATATATATATATATATATATATATATACACACACATATATAATATATATATATATATTTTTTTTTTTTTTTTTTTTTTTTTTTTTTAAGATTTTCTTTTCATATTTCACTATGTCCAAAGTAGTACAATGTTACCATAGTAACATTGTACTACTTTGGGGAAGTGATCAGTATTTTTTTTTTTTTTTTTTTTTTTTACACAATTTGCTTATAGCAAAGAATTACCTGAATGACATCGATTCATTCAGGGTTTTTTTTTTTTTTTTGTGCTTAGCTGTGATTTGGCCACAACTAATCACATGACATGTACATGTGATTAGCTGTGACCATTCACAGCTAGACATTAGTGGCTGGCATGAATGAAGCCATCCATTGTATACAACTGTCATGTGACCTGCTGTGATTGGTCACAGCAGGTCACATGGTACCAGCAACGGGGGCCGGTACTCAGATCTGTCAGTCATCGGCCGTGTCCGAGGTACACGGCCGGTGACAGATCGCGCCGCTGCGCGGCTCTGCAAGCGCGCAAATTGCGCATGTGCGGGAGGACTCTGCAAGCGCGCAAATTGCGCATGTGCGGGAGGACACCCTATGGCGGCCTCCCGGAAAGCGATTACATTTTTACGGACGCCATTTGGCCATAGGCCGGGTGTCAAATGGTTAATTTAAAGGTTTTTTTTCACATATTTGTTTTTGGTGGTGGAGTAATAATATCATTATTATTTATATTTACGGATTATACTTTGTGAGCGCTATGGTTGGTGGGTATATAATTTTTATGATCACATATTTGGATATCTATATACATGTGAAGTGTCAAATATACTGTAGATGAACACAAGATCATTTTTTTTAAAAAAATATCTAGAATCACAAAAAAAAAAAAGTGATCATAAAAAGGTAGTGAGAAAAGCATGGACTATATTATCACATAAAATACTGAAACAAACAATAAAAACAACAAATAAAACAGCCAACAGTATCCAAATGAGAGCTCAGGAGATTACTAGACATAAACAATGTAACAATTAGAAATATAATAATTCTTAAGCCAACAGATACATTTGTATCAAATCCTAGATGTACAATAGAAGTGCGCACTCTGGAAATTTCCATTTCGGATGCAATTTTTAAATTGAAGAATTTCGTTCCATCGTATTCGCAATTTTGAACAGATTCGTTTTCGGGATTCAATTCATATATTCGTTGGTTCGGGTGGATTTCGAAAAAAAATTTGCAGTCTTTTCAGAAGATTTTTTTATATTAAAATATATTATTCGATATTTTCAGACGCTAGTCCCACCCGCGAAAGAAAAATGGCACGAGCCGATTGGACTTTCACCTGGCGCCACGTGCATCCGAATTAACGAATCGTACAAAACTGAGATCCATTATTTATCCGAATCATCGAACAAAATGAGAAAATTGAATTCACTTCTCCCGCGGCGCCCGAGCGAATATCGCATTAATGTGACGTCATCCATACTAAACGGATGCATTTGTTATATTTTCATTATGAATTTTTCTTCGGATTGGTTGACATTGTTACTATGCCCGTTCGGATACATCCGAATCTCTGAAAATCAAACGCAATCGAAACGCATATGTCTATTATACAACTGGGGGGGGAAGGAGGTTGGGCAGTAAAAATAGGCAGCTGAGCCACAGTTTTACCCAGGGGCGGACTGACCATTTGAGCACTAGGGCATTGCCCGAGGGCCCGGGGTCAGTAGGGGGCCCCATGAAAAGCCCCTGGTACCTTTTATAGGCTTTTTTGGGTGTGCTTTGAGTGTGGGCAAGAACACAGGGGCCCCATCATCCCCTGTTGCCCGGGGGCCCCATGAGTTGTCAATCTGCCCCTGGTTTTACCACTCTCTGAGCACCTCTCTTTAGCCTCAACACAGGGTCCGAGGGGGGGATGTCTGTATGCTGTGATGGCGGCAAAAATGATACCCCCCACCCAACATTTTTGGCGGGCAGATACAACCCATTCAAGTGAACAGAACCACACTGCAACTGCCCTTGTGGCACAGCGCTGCGGGATTTTTCAGTGTTGAAACGACTGGAGGAAAAGAAATGTAATCTCCAAACACGGAAAGGGTTCTTCACAGTAAGAGCTGTGAGAATGTGGAATAGACTCCCTCCAGAGTTGGTTGTGGCCAGCTCAGTGGATTGCTGTAGGAAAGTCCTGGATTCTTTCTTGGATACACAGAATATAAATATAACATTTATAGGTGAAGGTGATCCAGGGAATAATTGCCTCTCGGGGGATCAGGAAGGAATTTTTTCCCAGCAGGATCAAATTGGATCGTGCTTTGCTGGGGGGTTTTTTGCCTTCCTCTGGATCCACTGTGTGTGTAGGATTATAACTTTTTTTTTTTTTTTTTTAACTGGATGGACTTTTGTCTTTTTTCAGCCAGACTAACTATGTAACCAGGGGAGGACTGACCATTTGGAAACTCTGGCACTGCCCGAGGGCCCGGGGTCAGTAGGGGGCCCCATGAGATGCCCTGGTACCTTTTTCATAGGCTTTTTTGAGTTTGGGCGAGGACACAGGGGCCCCATGATCCCCTATTGCCCGGGGGCCCCATGAGTTGTCAGTCCGCCCCTGTATGTAACATATCGTTTCCCAGCCGCCTGTCAACCACGGGATAGCCACTGATTGCGCCATTGTAAATGAACCCCAAGAGGCAATTTAATTAAAAATTCAAACTTCCAGTATACAATGCACTGCGCTTACCTTGACGGTCGGGCCGGGGGAACTGGCTCTATAAAAGAAAAAAGGAATAAATATGAAAAAAATCCAATTTTCCAACAATTCTGTGAATCAAAATGGCGTTTCATAAAATTCATCAAACAGGAGCTACACGAGATAATACAAACTTCTGCTGCCAACCAGGGGCGGACTGACCATTTGGGAACTAGGGCACCGCCTGAGGGCCCGGGGTCAGTAGGGGGCCCCATGAGATGCCCCTGGTACCTTTCATAGGCGTTTTTGGGTGTGGTTTAAGTGTGGACAAGGACGCAGGGGCCCCATGATCCCCTATTGCCCGGGGGGCCCCATGAGTTGTCAGTCCGCCCCTGCTGCCAATACAATTTATAGAGACGAGACAATCATACATCGATTTTCTCCCGACAATGGTTTTTCTTGATGGCTTTGAAACAGGAAGTGAGGTGATGTCACTGAACAGGTGTCCCCACTGGAAGATTTCCCCTCTCTTCCTGTTTAGGTGACAACTGTAAAAATGTTGGATTGTCCAATTTTCTATGGTGACAACAGGAGAATTAGGGAGGGGGTCAGACATCTCAGCAGGGGCACAGGCAACACAAGACAGAGGTTCCAACCTTTACCTGCCCCATAAAAAAAAAAAAAAAAAAAAGGGGCTAGAGATACAAAAAAAAATAAAAATAAAATAAATAATTTTTTTATAGATATATATATATATATATATATATATATATATATATATATATTTTTTTTTTTTATTTATTTATTTTTTTTTAATAATAATAATAAATAATAATAATAATAAAAATAATAAAAATAATAAAACCTTTTCCTTCACCTCAACTCCATAAATCAATCAAACCAAAAGTTAAATTAAAGTCCCAAAAAATAATTAATTTTTCAGTCTACCAAAATATCTCAATCCTGTGTGTCCAACTTCAATATTTCCAATTATTAAATAAATCGCTCGGCAACTTAGAACCTAAAATAACTCATACTGTATATTGAATACCCAACTTTTAGGCCCAAGAAAAAAAGTCACACTTTCACCCTTGAAAGCAAATAATAATAAAACCTTCTCCTTCACCTCAACTCAATCAAACCAAAAAGTATATTAAAGTCCCAAAAAAATTATATATATATATTATATATATATATATATATATTATATTATTTTTTTTTTTTTTTTGTTTTTTTTTTGGGACTTTCATTTAATTTTTGGTTTGATTTATTGAGTTGAGGTGAAGGAAAAGGTTTTAATATTATATAAATAAATAATCTAGCTATAAAAAAATTTTTTATTATTTTTTTTTTTTTTTTGTATCTCCAGCCCCCTTTTTTTTCCCTCCACATCTACAGTGTCTCTGTATATATTAGTCTGTCTCTACATATAAGAGGCTGTTTCTGTTGATCATGAAAGTGAGATCCCTTGTCAGGGTATGTGGTGATTCAATGCTCTATGACAATAAAACAATACAACCTCGGGGGGGGGGGGGGGGGGGGGATACTTTTTATAGAGCCGTATACAGCCGTAGAGCGGAGCCGGTATACAGAAGACGAGGTCAGGCCCCAATTCACAGCCGCACACATACAACATTCTCCAGTCTCATCAATGGCACCCATTGTGTGGTGGGACTCGGGAGTCACATGACCATGAGGTCACCCCCGTGGTGCTGCGTGCGACGCGACATCCCCAGACATGTGTGTGCGTTCCATCCTCTGATGTGCGCTCTGTTACAATGCAGAACTACAAGTCCCAGCAGTCCCAGTGTCCAGATAGCAGCATGCAACCAACACAGAACTACAAGTCCCAGCAGTCCCGGTACCCAGATAGCAGCATGCAGCCAATACAGAACTACAAGTCCCAGCAGTCCCGGTACCCAGATAGCAGCACGCAGCCAATACAGAACTACAAGTCCCAGCAGTCCCAGTACCCAGATAGCAGCATGCAGCCAATACAGAACTACAAGTCCCAGCAGTCCCGGTACCCAGATAGCAACACGCAGCCAATACAGAACTACAAGTCCCAGCAGTCCCGGTACCCAGATAGCAACACGCAGCCAATACAGAACTACAAGTCCCAGCAGTCCCGGTACCCAGATAGCAGCACGCAGCCAATACAGAACTACAAGTCCCAGCAGTCCCAGTACCCAGATAGCAACATGCAGCCAATACAGAACTACAAGTCCCAGCAGTCCCGGTACCCAGATAGCAACACGCAGCCAATACAGAACTACAAGTCCCAGCAGTCCCGGTACCCAGATAGCAACACGCAGCCAATACAGAACTACAAGTCCCAGCAGTCCCGGTAAACAGATAGCAACACGCAGCCAATACAGAACTACAAGTCCCAGCAGTCCCGGTGTCTAGATAGCAGCACGCAACCAATACAGAACTACAAGTCCCAGCAGTCCCAGTGTCCAGATAGCAATCATGCAGCCAATACAGAACTACAAGTCCCAGCAGTCCCAGTGTACCCAGATAGCATCATGCAGCCAATACAGAACTACAAGTCCCAGCAGTCCCAGTACCCAGATAGCAGCACGCAGCCAATACAGAACTACAAGTCTCAGCAGTCCTCGTGTCCAGATAGCATCATGCAGCCAATACAGAACTACAAGTCCCAGCAGTCCCAGTATGCAGATAGCATCATGCAGCCAATACAGAACTACAAGTCCCAGCAGTCCCAGTACCCAGATAGCAGCACGCAGCCAATACAGAACTACAAGTCTCAGCAGTCCTCGTGTCCAGATAGCATCTCAAACACAGAGCCAATGCTGAAATATGAGTCCCAGCAGTTCTAGTGTTGAGACAGCAGCATGCAGACAATGCAGAGCTACAAGCAGTCATTATGGAACTACAAGTCCCAGCAGTCCCAATTTCCAGGGATCAACACGCAGCCAGCAGTCCTAGTGTTCATATAGCAGCATGCAGCCAATACAGAACTACAAGTCCCAGCAGTCCCAGTGTCCAGAGAGCAGCATGCAGCCAATACAGAACCACAAGTCCCAGCAGTCCCAGTGTCCAATGCACACACAGCCAGTACAGAACTACAAGTCCCAGCAGCTCTAATCTGCTTTTTTCATTCTCCATCTAGTCTTCCGATAGCAGCATGCAGCCAGCAGTCCCAGTGTCCAGATAGGACCATGCAACCAATACAGAACTACAAGTTCCAAAAGTTCCGATGTCCACATAGCAGCACACAGGCAACACAGAACTATAAGTCCCAGCAATCCCAATGTCCTGCGGGGAATCGTCGGCTTTCTTTACAACTTACCTTTTTGTGGAGCGGGTCCGGTGTCACCCCGTATGGTAGGTGTCACCCCGTGCAGGGAGCACCCCCCACACCTGCCTAGGGACACCTCTGATGGATCGGATCTGCGGATTGGGGAGCATAATGGATAGGACTCCGGTCCATTATGCTCAATCTGCAGATCCGATCCATCCTGCGGGGATCGTCGGCATGCAACCTATACGGGGTGACACCGGACCCGCTCCACGAAAAGGTAAGTTGTAAAGATGGATCGGATCTGCGGATTGGGGAGCATAATGGATAGGACTCCGGTCCATTATGCTCAATCTGCAGATCCGATCCATCCTGCGGGGATCGTCGGCATGCAACCTATACGGGGTGACACCGGACCCGCTCCACGAAAAGGTAAGTTGTAAAGATGGATCAGATCTGCGGATTGGGGAACATAATGGATCAGAGTCCGATCCATCCTGCTCAATCCGCAGATCCGGTCCATTCTGCTCAATCCGCAGATCCGGTCCATTCTGCGGGGCTCGTTAGAGGGGTGACACCAAGTGTTATCGTCCCGGGTGACACCAACCCTAGGGACAACCCCTGGGTGCCATTCCAATGTGCAGTCAGGTTAGAAGAGACTTTTCTTCCCATTAGCAGAGTGTTTGTTCCTCTCATACATATTCCCAGCAATTGACGCAAAGCCGCCACGCACCGTCCATGCGTCGGGTGACTGTCGCACGGAAATATATGAACTTGCAGGAAAAACAGTGATCTCAGTCATTTGTGGAATGTCGGAAGTCCAACCGCAGCAAATATTCTAAATGCTGAATCCAGCCGCCTGTCTAATGGAAGTTTGGATATTTCTACGTAACGATCACACTGACCCGTGTATGATGCACGGCGATCGTTGTCATCTGGGCGAATATCTGAATGTTCCAAATAGAGAGGTTTTTTTTTTTTTTTTTTTTACTCACTCTGACATTTGACACCTAGTGGCCACAATGCGGCATTTGTTCCCGAAATACCTCAATTGGGGAAAATACTGCATCGAGGCCAGTAGATGGCGCTGACAATCATAGGAAATCATATAAATAGACAAAATATCAGAAGGCTTTTTTTAAATGTTGAACGCAGTATTTTGGGATTGTCTCCGATATGCAGGGGGCCTGTAGTGCGATAGGGGGGCACCTCTGATGTTAAGGGGGGGTCTGTGGTGTGATTGAGGGGGGGGGGTGTCACCTCTGATATAAAGGGGGGGCCTTTAGTGTGATTGAGAAATGGGGGGGCATCTCTGATATGCAGGAGGACCTGTAGTCTGATTGAGGGGTCCACCTTTGATAAGAAGGGGGGGCATTGGTGTGACTGGGTATGGAGGGGCACCTCTGATATAAGGGGGACCTGTTGTGATTGAGGGGGTCACCTCTGATATGAAGGGGGGCTGTGGTGTGATTGAGGGGGACACTTCTGATATGTGGGGGGGGGGGGTCTGCAGTGTGATTGAGGGGGATCACCTCTGATGTGAAGGGGGACCTGTGGTATAATTGGGATGAGGGGGAACCTCTGATCTGAAGGGGGACTTCTGATATGCAAGGGGGAGGACTTTGGTGTGATTGGGAATGGGGGGGGGGGGGGGGGCAACTCTGATATGAAGGGGGACCTGTAGTGTGATTGTGGGGGTCCTCTGATGCAAAGGGGGGCCTGTGGCGTGATTGGGAATGGGGGGGGCAACTCTGATATGAAGCGGGATCTGTAGTGTGATTCAGGGGGGCCTGTGGTGTGATTGGGAATGGGGGGGGGGATGGAGAGAGCAACTCTGATATGAAGGGGGACCTGTAGTGTGACTAAGGGGGATCGCTGATGTAAACGGATGCCTGTTGTGTGATTGGAATGGGGAGGGGAAAGGGGGGGTGTCTGATGTGAATGGGGGCTTGTGGTGTAAATTGGAATGGGGAGGGGGAAGCAGGCGCCTCTAATATGAGTGCGGGACCTGTAGTGTGATTGAGGGGGGACCACTGATACGAATGGGGGGTTCTGATGAGGGATGTTTGATATGAACGGGGGGGGGGCTGTGGTGTGATGGAATGGGGGGGACCTCTGATGTGAAGGGGGGGCCTGTGGTGTAAATTGGAATGGGTGAAGGGGGAAGCGGTCGCCTCTAATATGAAGCGGGACCTGTAGTGTGATTGAGGGGGGGACCACTGATACGAATGGGGGGTTCTTCTGATGTGATGAGGGATGTTTGATATGAACGAGGGGGGGGGGGGGGGTGCTGTGGTGTGATTGGGGGAGCACCTCAGATACGAGGGGGGGGGGGGGCTCAGGTTTCCTATCGATAAGTAACATTCCCCACTTGTACAGCCGGTTTGTGCTCACGGTCATTTGAATGGGTTTCTGTACCCATGAGAAACACGGGAAAGTCCCAGAACGGCGCTCATCTGCAGGCATGTACTCTGCGTGTCAGGAACACGTGTGATTTCACAAGCGTTCCCAACCCACACAAATGTGAACCTAGCCCCTCAGACCGGGGGGGGGGGGTGGGGGGCTCCAGATTCTGCATTCTTTTAAAGGGCAACACAACTGAAAAAATGGACGAGAATATCTGGCCAAAAAACGCATCATCTGTGAATGTGTGATAATGTAACCGAGCCGATTTCTAGGATATCTCTGGCAGAGGGTCTGACACGCCCAGCTCCACCCAAAACGGATATACATGAAGTTCCAGGATACTATGGGACCAGTTTTAAGTACAGAAATGTCTAAGCAACTCCATACAAGCCTTTAGTTGCTGTTCTGAATAGGAATTTATTTCAAGATGATAGACAGAAGAAAAAGAAAAGAAAAAAAAAAAGGAAAAAGAAAAAAAAAAGGAAAAGGAAAAAAAAGGAAAAGAAAAAAAAAGAAAAAAAAGAAAGAAAAAAAAAAGAAAAAAAAAAAGAAAGAAAAAAAAAAGAAAAAAGAAAAAAAAGAAAGAAAAAAAAAAGAAAAAAAAAGAAAAAAAAAAAGGAAAGAAAAAAAAAGGAAAGAAAAAAAAGGAAAGAAAAAAAAGGAAAGAAAAAAAAAGAAAGAAAAAAAAAGAAAAGAAAAAAAAAGAAAAGAGAAAAAAAAAGAAAGAAGATGAACCAGGGGCGGACTAACCATTTGGGAACTCAGACACTGCCCGAGGGCCCGGGGTCAGTAGGGGGGCCTCATGAGATGCCCCTGGTACCTTTTTCATAGGCTTTTTTGAGTTTGGGCAAGGACACAGGGGCCCCATGATCCCCTATTGCCCGGGGGCCCCATGAGTTGTCAGTCCGCCCCTGAGATGAACTATAAAAATATAACAATACATACTCCGAAGCCTCGGGTCCAGTCCTCCACTACCCCAGCAAGTCAGGTTTTCTGGCCTATTCCAGCCCAGGTGATGCAATCAGCTCCCCAGATGAATGAACAGCACAGCTGTGTCCACTGGGGGGGAAATCTGAAATCCTGGCCTGTCTGCTGTACTCAGGACTGGAGTCCCATGGCCCCCAGGACAATGTAACACTGGGGACCCCTTGGGTGAAACCGGCTGTGGGACTCAATGACATAGTATATAGAGGACAGGTGATTGAGGTACCTGCGCTGGGGGAGGGGGGCTCCTGGCTCTTCTCTTGGATGCTGCTGGAGGAGGACAGTCTGCCCTTTAACCCTTTACGGGCCCCGGAATCATCTCCTTCCCCCTCGCTGTCAAAATCAAAGAATTCGCCTTGGTCGTCATCCTCCTCCTCCTGGGGCCCCCCAGTGACGGGGACATCTGAAAAGACCAAATCACAGATCACCAAATAATGAGAATCACAGAGGAGCCGCCGCCGCCATCCCGACCCATCAGGCATATTACACAGCAATATATGGGGGGGGGGGGGGGGTGTCACGCACTGCACTCGGGGTACAAAGGGGTCACAAGATATATTTAGGGGGCAAGGAGACACACAACACAAAGGACCGGTAAATCAGAGTTCGGGGGTCACACTCAGATATATTTAGGGTACAAGGGTCACACTCCGATGCACAGGGATGTATTTGGGGTGCAGGGAACACACAGGTACACATTTTTTGGTTCAGGGGTCACACTCAGGTACACAGAAATACATTTAGGGTTCAGGGGGTCACAGGTACACAGTGATATATTTAGGGGTCACAATGAAGCACACATTAGGCTACAGGTGTCACACAGGTACACAGGGATATATTTAGGGTTCAGGGGTTACACTGAGGCACACAGGGATATATATATAGGGTATAGGGGTCACACGGATATATTTAGGGTTCAGGGGTCACACTCATACACAGGGATATATTTAGGGTTCAGGGGTCACAAGCACACACAGGGATATATTGGGGTAAAGGTGTCACTCTCAGGTACACAGGGATATATTTGGGGTTCAAGGGTCACAATGAGGCACACAGGAATATATAGGGTACATAGGTCACACTCATACACAGGGATATATTTGGGGTTCAGGGGTCACACAGGTACACAGGGATATATATAGGGTTCAGGGGTCACACTCAGATACACAGGGATATATATGTAGGGGTTACACTGAGGCACAAAGGGATATATGTATAGGGTATAGGGGTCACACAGATATATTTAGGGTTCAGGGGTCACACTCATATACACAGGGATATATATATATATATATATATATATATATATAGGGTACAGGGGTCACACAGATATATTTAGGGTTCAGGGGTCACAAACACACAAAGGGATATATTTGGGGTACAGGTGTCACTCTCGGGTACACAGGGATATATTTGGGGTACAGGGGTCACACAGATATATTTAGGGTTCAGGGGTCACACAGGTACACTGATATATTTAGGGGTACATTGAGGCACATAGGGATATATATAGGGCTTTAACGGATATATTTAGGGTTCAGGGGTCACACTCATATACACAGGGATATATATATGGTTCAGGGGTCACATTCATACACAGGGATATATTTAGGGTTCAGGGGTCACATTCATACACAGGGATATATTTAGGGTTCAGGGGTCACAGAGGTACACAGGGACATATTTAGGGTTCAGGGGTCACAAACACAAAGGGATATATTTGGGGTACAGGTGTCACTCTCAGGTACACAGGGATATATTTGGGGTGTAGGGTGGGGGGGGGGTCACACTCAGGTACATAGCAGCATATAATCACAGAAATCATGCAGCAAAATCAGGGTGTTAGCAAGCAGCACATTTGGGGTGTTAATGCGGGGGAGGGGAAGGGGGGGGATACAGTACCTAGTGCATGGAAGTTAAATCTGGAGCTCTCTGCAGAATCCATCTCTCCTGCGGCTGAACCTGAAACACATGGATATGTACTAAGCACTTTCCCCCTGCCTGGGATCAGCCCCCAGCCCTGGATACCCCTCACCCCACATATACCCGGCTTCCTGCGCAGAGACGGCAGACAATCCCAGCGACAGGTGGCCGGCTTCGCTCACATTTACAGCAGAACCTAAAAATATCCCAACGACAGCCTGAGATCTCCTCCGCACCTCACCGTACAGAAACCGAGACTGCACCGCTCCACCCAACATCCAACCAGATCCCGACCTTCACCGCTCCACCCAACATCCAACCAGATCCCGACCTTCACCGCTCCACCCAACATCCAACCAGATCCCGACCTTCACCGCTCCACCCAACATCCAACCACAACTCCACCAATCCACCCGGCACTACCAGATGCCGGGACACGCTTCCTCATGACCCGGCTACATGACTCAATCAATAACAATAATTAGTAAAGTGTGCCAATGATTCACCCCATGTCTACACATAGAGGACTCCGCCCGAAATTCCACCACCTCCTCCCAAACCGAAAATTCTGTATGTCAGTCAATCTCGGTATCTGTCCCCATTCTGTATGTATGGACTCCGCACAGTCCCACTTCCCCTGTCCTGGATGCCGGGTGTCATTCTCGGTATCTGTCCCCATTCTGTATGTATGGACTCCGCACAGTCCCACTTCTCCTGTCCCGGATGCCGGGTGTCATTCTCGGTATCGGTCCCTATTCTGTATGTATGTACTCTGCACAGTCCCATTTCTCCCTGTCCCGGATGCCGGGTGTCATTCTCGGTATCGGTCCCTATTCTGTATGTATGGACTCCGCACAGTCCCACTTCCCCTGTCCTGGATGCTGGGTGTCATTCTCGGTATCTGTCCTTATTCTGTGTATGTACTCTGCACAGTCCCACTTCTCCTTTCCTGGATGCCGGGTGTCATTCTCTGTACCGGTCCCTATTCTGTGTGTATGGACTCTGCACAGTCCCACCTCTGTAATTCTGGTCATTATCTGCAGTTTGTTTATTTATAGGGTTGGTAGAAGGAAGTTATCTGATCCCATCTGATGGGTGACAACAATGTAACCACCTGCCGTATGTTATGTACAATGTGTCTCTATGTACTCTGTAGCCACACACTACCAATCCCATTATACTACAACAGCGCCGCCTACAGGAGATACAAAGAAGCATCTTCCTGATTTATTGGTGTGAATGTCAATCAGCAGTTACAAAACAAATACTGAACAGCAATAGGTCAGAGGTTATGGTGGATGGGAGGAGGAAAGGCACTGTGATTGGTGGATGCTGGTTCTGAAAAATCCTAAACAGTTTTTTTTTTAATACACCTTTTTACATGATGTATCTCTGGCATAGTCTGTAGCGCTGTACACATCACATCAGTCTCTGTACTAGAGGAGCTTACACTCTAATGTCCCCTCCCCCATAATCACATCAGTCTCTGTACCAGAGGAGCTTACACTCTAATGTCCCCTGCCCCACAGTCCCATCAGTCTCTGCACTGGAGGAGCTTACGCTCTAATGTCCCCTCCCCCACAGTCCCATCAGTCTCTGCACCGGAGGAGCTTACGCTCTAATGTCCCCTCCCCCACAGTCCCATCAGTCTCTGCACCGGAGGAGCTTACGCTCTAATGTCCCCTCCCCCACAGTGATACCAGTCTCTGTACCGGAGGAGCTTACACTCCAATGTCCCCTCCCCCACGGTCCCATCAGTCTCTGTACAGAGGAGCTTACACTCTAATGTCCCCTCCCCCACAGTCACATCAGTCTCTGTACCGGAGGAGCTTACACTCTAATGTCCCCTCCCCCAAAGTCATATCAGTCTCTGTACTGGAGGAGCTTACACTCTAATGTCCCCTCCCCCCCAGTCACATCAGTCTCTATACCAGAGGAGCTTACACTCTAATGTCCCCTCCCCCACAGTCATACCAGTCTCTGTACCGGAGGAGCTTACACTCTAATGTCCCACTTCAATTATATACAAGGTTTAGTGCTAATTTTAGGCGCAGTCAGCATTTTCTTTTGTGGGAGGAGACTCAGATACTCAAAATATGAAGGGAATACACAAACTCCATGCAGACTGTGCGGTGGGGAAGATACTGGACTCCCAGCCCCAGTGCTGCAGTGCATAAAAGGATGCCAACCTATATAAAAAAAAAAAAAAGTAGATGTAAAGCTCCACCTAAAGTTAGTATATATAGGTTGTCACCAGGAATCGGTGGCTCAGCCCCTGGCCTGGCCTCCCCCATGCGCTCTTCTCCCGCACACATCGCCATTTAGTAGGAAGCATGACTCCAGGAATTCTGCTCTATCAGTTTAGGGTGGATTCTCTGTACAGGGATAGGTCGGCTCACTGTGCGGACCTCCAAGGAAGCCTCCCTCCGCAGGACAGAGGTCTGAGGTTACAGTACACCCCCACCGAGGTCGAGAGGGGCGCGGCAGGGAGAGGACTTCGCTCATCGCACCGCACCTCCAGTTCAGCCAGAATACCAAAAGTCACGGAAAAGTCAGAAACTGGGCAAGGGAGCAGAATATCCCCAAACGCCAGTCTATAAATAACGGAACACAATGGAACCCGCGTCGCTGGAGCATGCGAGAAACAAACAAAAAAAAAAGACAAAAAACGCACACCCGACATTCCCCTCCGAAAGACAAAAAAAATCTACACTTCTGAGAATAAATCCAAATATTGTGTCAGAGAAATAGTCACATCTACTTCACAATACAGGTGAAAGGCGAAAAAATGAGAATTTGGTGCATTCATTCATTCATTCATTCATTCATTGATTTCAGTGCAGCAACTTAAAAGGTGACACTAATATATGAGACTCATTCCATGCAAAGCAAGATAGTTCCAGCCGTGATTTGTCATCATTGTGATGATTATGGCTTACAGCTCATGAAAACCCCAAATCCACAATCTCAGAAAATGAGAATATTCC